AACAAGGCAAGCCAAAAGCCTGGAAAGCAAACCCTAAACCCTAAACCCTAAACCCTAAACCCTGAGCTCCCGTACACATCATCCAGCTCTGGTTTTAGGGTTTCGGTCTTCGCGAAGTGAAACTTTGCTTCCCATTCGGACGGCAAATGTTGGTTCCGGGTTTGGGATTTAAGAAAACGGAGCTTGAAAAACTAGAATGGGGTCTGGGATAGCTTCAAAAAACGACAGCGGGGTGTCCTATTGGTAATGATTCAGGCCCCTACATCAACCCAAATCCCCGAGTTCCTCTCAAACACTAAGCACACATCCCGCGGGCCCAACACTTACCTTGGGTCAGTAGGGAATGGAAGAACGGTAGTAATGGTAGTTATAACTGTACCCCATTCCTCCATTCCCTACTAACCAAAGGTAAGAAAAGGTACAGAGGACCCGGACCTTACATCCCTAAACCTTAAACCCCTAAACCCTCAACCCTAAACCCTAAACCTTAAACCCTAAACCCTAAACCTTTAAACCCTAAACCCTAAACCCTGAACCCTAAACCTTAAACCCTAAACCCTGAACCTTCAAACCCTGACCCTGGCGAATCCTACACCTCGAACTGCCCGCCCAGGCAATGCGCTCAAAAATCCCGCAACCTTAAAATGCACGGAAAGGATAAGGGGATGTCGTCAGTGGGTTCTGAAGTACGGTAACCATAGGTACAATTCAACATTACGCCGATGACGGTACCTACGAAATCCCTGATCCGCTGTCTAAGGCTGAGATATGAGCTATATAACCGCTTGAAAATCTCCTGCCCCTATCGTGTAGCATGCCGCTCTTTAATCAGGAACCCCAGCCCAATCCCAAGCTCGAAAAACCCTACACCCTCAACCCGATAACCCTAAGTCCTAGTATTTCTGGGTCCGCGAAACCACCGCTGCCAGCTATCGTCGCTGCCAAGGTGGCCTCCAAGGTAGAGCCATTCCTCGCGTCCAGGGGGCTTTGACTTAGGATTTTTCAAGGCTTCATACAGGGTTTTACGGTTTTGTAGGGTTGTATAACTTTACAGTAGAAGCCAGAAAGTTGGAATATCATTATCGTAACCCCTTTAAGGTAAATTATAGGGGATCCTACCATTAATCCATATTCCAACTTTCTGGAGTTCCCTTTAGGGTTGTATAACTTTACGATGCTTCCAGAGTTGTTCTATTCCATGGCAGGCTTTCATAGAGTTTTTGCGGTGTTGCAACGGTTTAGGTTGGTTTTCTCAGAGCTCCAGACGGATTCTATCCATTTTTCAGAGGGGTCAAGCTTGAGTTCAGCTATTTGGTGCAGTATACCCAGTGGTTCATTCATCAAGGGTCTCCTTTGCTGTAACCCTGGGGATCAAAATGGCTCAAAAGCCTTGTATAGTATGGTCTTTGGGCGCAAAAGCCCTAATATATGAGTCCTTGGAGCCCTAGGGTGACACGCGGACCCGGATTTAGCGCTAGAGGTTCACTGATTCGAACAGCTCCTGCCCTGAATACGGATGACAACAAGGATCTTATCTTGGGTACGGCCCCCACTCAGTAATAGTTGAATAACGTTCATAATACAGCCATATTAGGACCTTAATAGTAGCCATATTATAGACTATTAGTGTATGGGGGCAGTCGGTAAATCTTATGAATTATTCCGGCCCGAATGGCGGCCTTGAGGGCCTAGGGCTTCAGAAATTGTTCATGAGGTTTCAACATTACATAGTCAGGTGGAAGTTCCGGGGGTTTGGAGTGTTTCAGGTGGCAGGTGTTTGGGTTCAGCGTATTACAGTTTTTGATGGAGTAGGGGTTTTTGGGGATTTAAGATTTCGGGCTCGGAGCGTACCACCCGCGCTTTTTTTTCGAAAGGACCGCTCATGTTGCTTTTTGAGTGAATGAGTGAGTGACTGTCGATCAGGAGTGCTCTCCGTCTTACGGTGGCCCGTCTCGTCTTTTGGGTTTTGCTCCATGTCTGGCCATCGGCACAACCTTTTCGCCTGATATTGTCGCTACGGTTGATGATATAAATCCTGCATTACCCATAATGAGGAATTTACCGTAATTCCCATGGTTTAGGGTCCTTAAGGTAATGCATGATTTTTATCATCAACCGTATTCCACGTCAAACCATACTATAAACCATAAAACCCGAAACTCGAAAAGCGACACCCTGATCCCCTAAACGCCCCCAAAGTCCCAGAGCTCCGGGAGGTTCCAAAAAGTAGATCCCTTAATGGGGGTTCCTATAAAGTACCCTTAGTAGTACAGGGCCCCAAATTAGGGGATCTACTTTCCCTTATAGATCCCTAAACCCTAAGCCCTAAAGGATCCCTTAAAGGAGCCCTTTAAGGAACCACCCAAAGACTCCCATATCCCCAAATTAAGGAATATCTAGGGCTCCTTTAAGGGTTCCTTTAAAGGGACCTCTAGGGTTTCTAGATCCTCCAAAGGGGTCAGGGGTATCAGAGCCCAGGTGCCGCAATACGAGTCGGGACCTCGCTGCATTGTCCCCGGGCCATCCTCGAGCTTTCGGGCTGCTCGGATGAACCCGTCTTTTTGGGGCTTGCGGTGTGGGGTAGAAGGTTTGGTGTTTTAGGGTTTAGGGTTTGGTGTTTTAGGGTGTCGGGTTTTCAGGTAGGGCTTGGGGCGTTTTGGGGTTCAGGGTGGAGGATTGAGGGCTGGGGGTTTAGTGTTCGGGTTTTAGTGTTCGGGTTTTGGGCGGCAGGCCAATGTACTTAGAGGAGCAGTTGGGTATAATACACACCCCCAAACCCTATTCTAACCCTATCCCTCCAAGGACCATGGGACTTAGTAAGTATGGATATAAGTACCTTAATTGGGGTTATAAGTAATTATAAGTGTATTTACCCTAGTAATAACCCCAGTTACTAAGTCCCATGACCTCATAGTTAGGGCCCTAGACCCCTTTAAGGACCCCATAATAAGTTGGTTTAAGGCCCCCTACATCAACACCAAAAGCCCGCCGTGTCTCCGCTGCAGGCTCTTGATGTGCTCCAGCCATTCGTCCAGCTCTGCATCCCCATCCATGGCTTCCGGCTTGGGAGGGGTTACTGTTTGGGGCTTAGCGTTTGGGGTTTGGGGTTTAGGGTTTGGGGTTTGGGGTTTTAGGGTTTGGGGTTTAGGGTTTGGGGTTTCAGGGTCTAGGGTTTAGGGCTTGGGGTTTGAGGCTCAGGGTTGGGGGTTTCAGAGCGACGGTTTGGGGATATGATATTGCTGTACGCCTATCACAAGGAAGCCTAAAAAGGAACCTGCAAGAACAGTATAGGTAGGTATTTAGTCTTCTACATTAAGCTTCGGGTTTCGGGTTAGGGTTTAGGGCTTAGGGTTGACGGTTTAGGTTGAGTGCTTGTGGTGGAGGGTTTACGGCGTAGGGCGAAAGGTGTAGTCCAGTCTTGAATTTCTGCTGTGCTTTGTTTGATGGGGGGCAGAGGCTTCACCGTAAGGCTTACGGCTAAGTTTCTCGAGGGGAAGGCAGTATGGCACGAGCTTTGAATCGAAGGTCACCCTAAACCTTAAAGCGTCGAGGCGCTATGTTTCCTGTGCGGAGTCTGAATGAGCGAGCAGCCTACGTCTGATCGTGTGAAGCACGGTTTTAGGGTTTAGGGTTTAGGGTTTAGGGCCTGCATAAGGAGAAGCTTAGTTCTAGCTACACGTCCACCCAAACTCCGATATAAACTCTGGCTCAAAGCCTTACACCTATTGTGAAACTCTATAACACCTTCCAAAAGGACCTTGTAAGGCCCCACCACCTCATGTGAAGAACGCCTCCCGTCCGAAGATCAACTCAGAGAAAGCTGGGCGAGGGATCTGTACATGAGCCCACGCTGCAGGACCCCGTGCAGAATTTGACATCTCTCTCGACGCAAGGTGTTAGAGTTTTAGGGCTAAGGCTTTTAAGCACTAAAGGAACACAGGCGGCAGACACAAGGAAAGCTTCATGATGATCAGGGTCGAGAAGCGAAGTTCCGTATCTTTGAAAGCACCCAAGCAAGCCGTTCACAAATCTTTCTCCTCCCAAACCTAAACATTCAAACCCAAAACGTACATCGCAAAACCATCAACACTAAACATAATAAAAACCCGTGATCACCCTCCGAAAACCCCGTGGAGGCCCCTAACTATCCCAAAAAACCTTAGACCCAAAACCGTAAACCCTAGATTCGACCGGAACCTTTTTCAAGAAGTCCCCAGAAAACCCTGGCTGAAGTTCTTAGCAGCTCCCTTTGTTTAGCGGTTACTGCTTAGGCTTTAGGGTTTAGAGATTGGGGTTTAGACGCTTTAGAGCCTAGGGTACGGAGGTCTCACACTTAAAGGACCAGGAGACTTAACAACTGTGGTTGCAAGCAAAACAACTATGCTTATTATGTCATTTGTCATTTATAATCTCAGGTGAGAATCAGACGACACTACCTCAAGGGTAAACCCTAGAACGCTGAACGCCTGAAGCCCTAGCTGGGCTTGCAGACTGGGTTTCTTGAACGGTGTTTTACAGGGTCTTAGATCTTTCTCAGCGGGAAACCCATCAGCTGCTGTTCCCCGAAATCTTTATCCTTTAGGAACCTCGGCAGCCCTAGCAATGTTGGTAAGTACTCAGAACCAACAGATTTAGTCTTGTGGCACAGATATCCTAGACATTAAGCCCTAGATGTATAGAGCCGCGATACAGCGCGTAGCAGAACTACTGTAGGGGGCTACACAATTACCAATACCAATCTGGGTTCCTTGCTCTAACTTTGTACAATGCAGCCCAAAACCCTATTCTGTGATTAAGGTCTGAACAAGAACCACGTTTAGAAACCCTGTAGAAACCGCGAACTATAGCTATACGTGGAGTTATAAATCCCCGAATATGCGTTGTAACTGTAGTTATCCTACCTATAACCCTACTTATCAATTACCCGTGAACCTCCAAGTAGAACCCGTAGCCCTTACCGAAACTACAACTTCGAAGCAGGGTCTGCCCAGGGAGCGTGCCGCCGTCGCTCGCATCGTCGACCGGCTCCGGTCTGAGCGTTCAAAGATTCAGGGCTTCAATATAGAGGCCTCAAGGGCTACAGTAGAAGCCCAAAAGTTGGAAACCCAATAGCCTCAATCCCTAAGAGCCATATTTTTTAGCACTATTTAGCCTTAATCCGGTTTCCAAATTTCTGGGGTTTGCTGTAGGGTTGAAGGCTTAGGGTTTAAGATTTAGGGTTCAGGGTTTAGGGTTGAAGGTCCTGTAGGAATTAGGAATTAGAGGTTTTGTGGCTTAGGACTCGGGGTTCTAGAAGGCAGGTGGGCATCGATAGAGGGGCATTCGCAATTGGAAGGGTTGGGGGGCTACCATTTGTGGTATAGGTACAGGAACGAACCCTAGCTGAGAAAATTCGAGGTGCCACAAACCGCCATCGGCGTGCCAACTATTCCTAGCAGCTTGTAGGCGCTTGAGTTACGAGAAGCTTGTGTTGAATGCCTACGCAGAGGAGCCTGGCTTTCCCACGCAAATAGAACATCGAAGTTAGGCTGCGTGTTCCAGCTTATCACTACAGGAACTTGAAAACCCGCTCAATGAACCTCCATTTTCCCAAACTCCCTTCTGTAATGTTGCAGTGTCTGGGGCACCCGACTGCTATGCAAAGGTGCAGTCGAAATAGCACAGAGGTGCTGATGTTGCACCGATGATGTCCGTAAACTGATGATGCGCTCATGCGGTGGCCTAGAGGTCAACAGCCAGCATCGCCGGCTGCTGGAAAACTACGTGCGTACAGATCACATTGCAGCTTTCTCCTACGCGACCAGCACGTCCTGCTTCCTGGTCGCACGTCGCACCCCAAAAACCCTTTCTAGTTGTTACAGCCCCTTATATGAGTCAGGGCTCTGGGACGTATTTCGATGTAGAGATGTTTTCGAGTCACAGCCAGTAACATCCATTCCTGTGAGCAGTCAAGGTACGTGATCACGCCGGTAGGCAAGGAGCTCAGTTGCATGGTGTCTCCTGAGGCAATTAAGCGACTAGCCTGAGGCCGTCGAGTCTGCGAATCGATCACAGTCTGCTTTGTCAAGCCAGATGAAAGCACCAGGCTACAAATGTCCGGCGTCACGCCGGCGCGAGCCACTGCTGTTGCCAGAATGATTTGTTGGCTCGTATGACTCCAAAGCGGCATGGCGATCGGCAACCGACACGCGCCATGGTAGGGAAAGATCTTACGACCTTTGGCTGCCTCGCCCTTCCACGCCTTCGCCAGAAGACAAGCTTTCAGTTAACGAATCTCGCAGGAAACACACCAGTGCTGGGAATTCTTCTGGCATTTTTATTGAAAGGATTTTACGAGGTTCGAGGGCTTAGAATTCAGGGACTAGGGCTTAGGGTTTCTATATGGGTTAGGACCCCTAAACCATCTCGAAGCCCATACAAATCCCCAAAACATCCCTAAAACTGAAAAATCCTTCGAATCCCTTAGATTTATGACGACCCTTCTAACAACCCTTGTTTTAAGCCTTTTATGCCGCAAGCCCCTAACCCGTCAACCCTTGTGAACCCTAAAGCCCCAAACCCGTAAACCCTTTTGCACAATGAAACGAGCATGCCCTGGAACCCTACATGGTAGCTCGTATGACAACCCTTACAGAATACCTCTGAACGGTACCCTTACAGCAGCCCTATTCCAACGACCAATGTAAGGGCCTTAGGAATAAGGATAGGGTTTTGAGCTCCTTTATAGAAAACGCCTTGAGGAACTCCCAGGAATAATGAACCCTGAAGCCCTAATCACGCCGTAAACCCCTGAACCCTGAACCCTAAACCTCTAAACCCCTAGACCCCTAGACCCTAATCACTAAAAACTGAACTTTAAGCCCCACCTGTTTATAGGGCTCCTGATTATGGCTTCTATGTATATATATATATATATATATATATACACACACATACATATAAATATATATAATTACTTAAAACCTAAACCCCTAAACCCCTAATCCCCTAAACCCTAAACCCTGAACCTTAAACCGTACACCCTAAACTTTCCTTAAAACGTAAACCACTTAACCCCTAAACCCTAAACCCTGAACCTTAAACCGTGCACCCTAAACTTTCTTAAAACCTAAACCCCTAAACCCCTAAACCCTGAACCCTGAACCTTAAGCCCTACACCCTGAAGCCTGCACCTAAACTTTCCTGAAAACCTAAACCCCTGAACCCCTAAACCCCTAAACCCTAAACCCTAAACTTTCCTTAAAACCTAAACCCCTAAGCCCCTAAACACCTAAACCCTGAACCTTAAACCCTACACCCTTAACTTTCCTTAAAACCCAAACCCCTAAACCCCTAAACCCCTAAACCCCTAAACCCCTAAACCCCTAAACCCCTAAACCCCTAAACCCTAAACCATGAACCCTGACCCCTACCCCGACTACACCCTGAACCTTGAACCCTACTTGGGGGGTCGGGGGACTTAGTAAGTAGTTAGTAAGTAGACTCATAAGTACCCCAAAAAGGACCCTAATTGGAGTTATGGTACTTATAAGTCCCTAAAATAACCAGTTACTAAGTCCCCCGACCCTCCAAGTACACCCTAAACCCCCGAGGCTGATACAAGCCGCCGTCGGGAGCGAACTCCTCTAAGAATCCTCGGGCCTAGGAATTCGAGAAGCCTTAAAGGGAGCTAGAGTATGGCTTATATTACTAGTATCCCCAGAATAGAACCCAATATATACACTCACCAATATTCAAAAGGAGCCCGATCTACACTCACCAAAACGGTAACTTTAACCCTACTTCAGCTGGAGTTGAGGGTTTAGGAGGGGCCTCGTAGGGTTTAGGGTCTAGGGTTTCGGGCCTCGGAATTCGAAAAGCCTTAAAAGGGAGCTGGAGTTGAGTTTACCTGGACCCCCAAAAGTAGGCAAAATAATGGCCCAAAATCCATAAAAAGCTATTGTTCTACATCCAAACCCTAAACCCTAAACCCTAAACCCTAAACCCTAAACCCTAAACCATTCTTTTGGGGTCCCGGTATTGGCCTTGTAGGGTTTGGGGGGGCCTTTTCGGATCTAAGAGGTTAGTTCAGGGGCCGTTCAGGGTTAAGGGGCCGTCTAGGTTTAGGGTTTAAGGGGCCGGTTAGCTAGGGTTTAGGGTTTAGGGTTTAGGGGCTGCTGAAATGAAAGGATTCAGGGTTTGGTTTAGGGTTTAGGGTTTAGGGGCTGCTGAAGTGAAAGGATTCAGGGTTTGGTTTAGGGCTTAAGGGGCCGTTTAGCTAGGATACCCAGTAACCTAAGAATAAAAAGGCCTCTCTTTTTGGTATTGGGTAACTCTACAAGGAACCTAGGACTACCAAAAGGGAATAAGGGTACCACTGGGCATCCTAGTTAGGGTTGAGGGGTCAGTTAGGGCTTAGGGTTCAGGGGCCTCTTGGGATTTAGGGTCTAGGGGCTGTCTAGGTTTTAGGGTTCAGGGTTTAGAGGCTGCTGAAATGAAAGGATTCAGGGTTTGGTTTCGAGCTTAGGTTTAGGGTTTAGGGGCTGCTGAAATGAAAGGATTCAGGGTTTGGTTTAGGGTTTAGGGTTTAGGGTTTAGGGGCTGCTGAAATGAAAGGATTCAGGGTTTGGCTTAGGGTTTAGGGTTTAGGGTTTAGGGGCTGTTGAAATGAAAGGATTCAGGGTTTGGTTTCGGGCTCAGGGTTTAGGGTTTAGGGTTTGTCAGGGTTTGGGGTTTCGTTAGGGCTGTGATACAGGCCTTTTGACGTTTGGCAGGGCCGTTGTAGCGTTTTCATGGGATTTTTGCGATGTTAGACAACAAGGCTTTCATCCTTAAAACAGGGTTGGCGACGTGGCCTTTAAACAAGGATTCTCTGCGATCTTCTAGCTGATCTACAGCGGGCCGCTGGTTTATTGGATTACTGGGAGGTTCATTGGTGGTTATAGGTGGAGTTAGAAGCCCTCATGTAGCGTATAGTTCTCCTATTTATAACTTGTAACCCTGCTCAAAACTATCGATGAACCTCCAAGTAGGTCGTTTGCGTTTGGGATTCTGAAGTCTTAGTCCTGAGGACTTCGTGCCCGAGGGTTGCGTGGTCGATTCTGTATAAGGCGCGTGTGCCTTGCACACGATGGATTCTCTCCATGCTTTGCATCCACTTGGAGGGTCGGGGGACTTTATAAGTACCATAACCCCAATTAGGGTCCCTATTAAGGTACTTATGAGTCTATATAATAACTACTTATTAAGTCCTTGAACCCTAAACCCTATAGTACCCTTTATAGAGCCCTTTAAAGGAACCCTTATAATCCCCTTTAGAGGAGCCCCCTACTTACTAAGTCCCCCGACCCTCCAAGCAGATTGTGGGCCGACTTCGCTTGGTGTGCGCGGCTCCGTGGCCCCGCTGGCACTACACCAAAAGTGATGTCTGCGACCATTCGCTTGGATTGGTTTAGGGTTTAGGGTTTAGGGTTTAAGGTTTAGGGATTAGGGATTAGGGTTTAGGGATTCCAGCTCGAGGCTATCCAGAACATTGGCAGCAGTGTGATCACGGGCCTTATTTCGGCGGAACTCATGCCATAAGACACGTCGCCTAGATCGGCGGCAACGGTGTGCCTGCCCAAAGCCGCAGCTGTCACCTCCGAATGGCGTGCTGCGGCCACTCCTTCGCAGCAAAGTTAGGGTTTAGGGGACTCCACTATCCCTCAATTACGGAATATACCTTAAATTATGGTAGGTTTGTTGATATAATAAGGAATATTCATTAATTGTCCTTAATCCTGAAACTCAAACCCCGAAACCCTTGCTTCACAAACCCTAAAACCCCTAAACAGCAACAAACGCTAAAACCCTAAACTCTCAACGCTAACCTGCAAGTGATTCTAAGACGGAGAACGGACGATGCTTTATAAGTCTACTAGGCTTGTGGTTTAGGGTTTAGTAGTGCGATGATTCCTTATAAGATTCGGAAATAACCCTACTCAGGCCACATAAGACCAAGCAAGACCCAAAACCCTAAACCCTCTTCTTGAGACCGCAACGGCGCCAAAGGCCTCCTTGAAGTTCGTCTGCGCCTGGCATCACGGCAGCTTACGGTTCGTAAGGGCTTCTCTGAACCAGGACGGTTTAGGGTTTAGGGTTTCCAAGGGCCCTTTAGTAGAGCCCTTATGGTCCCTAACAGTGGGTATTTGGGGTATACTAGGGGCTAGTTGGGGGTCTCTTTACAGTTCGCTTAAGGCTTCTATGCGGACGGAGTCTATGCGGAATTTGTAGATTCTAGAGGTTTGGGACCTAGGTTGTTTTGATGGGGTGAGAGCTTAGGGTTTAGGGTTCAGGCGTTGCAGTAGGGTGCAGAGGTGAGGGTTTTGGGGTCCAGGATTTACAGGGGCATCCTGGCGCATCTGATATCAAAGAAGGGGCCTTCCTAAGTGTCGGAATAGGGCGTTCTAGGGAGTGTCTAATCCCTAAAACTCCAGTTACCTAAACCATCGGCTGCTGGAGTGTATAATATATGGTTAGTAATCGTCTATTTAAATGCAATTTTTAAAACCCTTCAGAAGCTAGGATACCCAGTAACCTAAGAATAAAAAGGCCTCTCTTTTTGGTATTGGGTAACTTTAGAAGGAACCTAGGACTACAAAAAGGGAATAAGGGTACTACTGGGCATCCTAGGAAGTTTTCTATTAGGAGTGTTAATCGTGGGCGCATCTGCCACGAAACAAAGAGGGCCAGACGAAGGATGTCGGGGGGGGGGGGGGGTAAATGCACCATGTTAAATTAATTTAAACCCTCAACTCTACCCCCTAAACATGTGGTGTCTGAGGTCTGAAATCTTGTTAGAAGTTTTCGGGCGGGTGGCATAGAGTTATAGGGACCTCAATCGTTTAAATGGGTCTTGGGCTTTAAGCCTGTTGGTCGAGCGTACGTGTGTTAATTGTTAGATTTCAGCTTTTGATTCTACAGGCTTGGTCGTGGGCGTTGGAAGTTAGAATAGAGTTCTGGTGTAAGCTATGTCATTGTATAAGCACTACCAATGCAATTCTACCTTGCCTAGTAACCTAGTTATCCAGACACCTGCCTCAGACCCTGATACTGCCGAGACTACTAAACTTACTCTATCGAATTTAGAATAGATAGGGTGGTTGTCAAAATTATGGTCCCGTTTTGGGAACCCTAAATATTAGGTGCCTTACTATATAAAGGACCCAAAGAGGGACCCTAATTTTGACAACCACCCATGTGGCAACAACTATACTGAACTTAGAACCCTAGCAAAATTGTAATTTTAGCAGTTTCTTTGGGATGAAAATAACCAAAATCTATTTTTAAGAAGCCCTAAGACAATACGAAGTTTGAACGCAAAGCCGCCTGCCGGTTGCGCTTCTCCTGCTCGGCGAGCTTCTGCGACTCGCGATGGGCAAAGGCCTGGCCGGATCGGTTGCCTACTTAAAGGGTTTAGGGTTTTAGTTTGTAGGGTTTGGGGCTTTAGGCTTTTAGGGTTTATGTTTGTGGGTTTTGGGCTTTTGGCTTTTAGGGTTTATGTTTGTAGGGTTTTGGGCTTTAGGCTTTTAGGGCTTAGGTTTCTAGGGCTTTGGGCTTTAGGCCTGAATGAGGCTTTTTTCCGCTTTGTAGGGCTTCGGGCTTAGGATTTTCGGGTAATTATACCGTTTAGGTGTGTAGGGTCTAGGGTTTAAGGTGTTAGGTTGGTCGCGCACGGATTCCATCAACTCTGGCCCAGATATTCCTTAACTGCCCCCCCCCCCCCCGATTCTGTCAACCCCGCTGAACACGGGGGCGAAGTCGGCCACACCTGCGTCAAGAGCCAGACGGCTGTCGAAGCTCCGATTTGAAGCCGATTGAGGCTGACCCAGAGCCTCCAAAACCCCTTAATTAAGGAATATACCTTAAATCATTTTAGGGCTCCTATTATAATTTAAAGTATATTCCTTAATTAAGGGGTTTTGGAGTCTCTGGGGACCAGGCCACTGGGATGAGCGCCATACCCCTCCAGAAGGTTTTGACCTTGTCCCGGGCACTCAGTGCACGAACCGCACGCAGAGTGCAAGAGGCAGACAAGGAAGAGGTTGGTGAAGGACTCGGTAGGTGCAGCTGCCACCATGGCAGTGGCTGCTTTGACGAACCCAGATGTGGGCCAAGCTTCCAAGCGATCCCCCATAGACATGACGACCTCTCTCGCCGTCCAACCAGCGGAACAAGGGGTTTCTCCATCAAATCGGATGTCACACTGCTATTGCGCAAGACTTGCTGGAACAGGGGCGACTCGTCGAGCAAAGACCGCACCAACAGCAGTGACAAGCACGACATGCAGTTGTCTCGCGATGGAGTTTTTGATTGTCCCATACAGGGCCGAAGGGGGCATGCTATGAAAGCCGAAGGGGGCATGCTATGAAAGCCGAAGGGGGCATGCTATGAAAGCCGAAGGGGGCATGCTATGAAAGCCGAAGGGGGCATGCTATGAAAGCCGAAGGGGGCATGCTATGGACTGCTTTGCTGGAAGACCTGGGGACCCGACACCATGCGTTGACACCAGTGCATGGTTGACTGAAGCAGGGACAGGGAGTTGACTGAACCAAGACGTGGAGAGGAACGCCAGGATGGCAGGGGTGCAAGTGCAAATGAAGGATCTTGGACATTATGCTTGGTTCGGGTTACAAGGAAGCGGATAACGAGTAGAGGGAAGCGCAGTTGAAAGAATATTGACTGATGGAAACGCCCGAAGTTGATGAAGAAGGCTTTGACCGTTTTAGGTTTGTAGGGTTAAGGGTTTTAGGCTTGCAGAGTTTAGGTTTGTAGGGTTTAGGGTTGTAGGCTTTTCGGCTTCAGGTTTGCAGGGTTTTGGGTTTTAGGGTTGAGGGTTTAGGTTCGAAGGGCTAGGGGCTTTAGGCTTTTAGGGTTTAGAATTTCTGCTTAGGAAGCTTAGGGTTCATGGTCAGGGAACCTAGCAAGTGGAGTTTACCTGAATTTTAACTTGGTTAAACCAAAAAAAGGAACTACAATGGAGACTATAGGTAGGGTTGCAGAAGGTTTGTGTAAGGGCTTTGGCGGGTTCGACCGGGTTGGGTCGATTTTTCTTGCCAGGATTATTGGCCTTGCTGCGTAGAGTTTTGATTACCATGCGCATGGTAATAACTTGTAACTAATCCATAGCTACTTTACATATAATCCTACCAGCTAAGCTGCCTGGTCCGTTAGGTAGAGTTTCGCGGGGCTTTAAGTTTCCATGGCTTGTACGATACAAGGCTGTTGCATGATGTTTATGAGCTTTTAGAAACCTTTTTTACAAGGGTGCTATCGGGTTTCGGTGGCTTAGGCCTCAGGGTTTTGCCTGGGGGGAGCGGATTTTGGGTTTCGGATTTCAGGTAGCCACCTCGCGCAACAGTCGGAACGTCGGAAAAGGGCACAACCGAAATAACAAACGCACATCAAGACAACGCACTCACACACACACACACACACACACACACACCCACGCACGCGCGCACGCAAGCACGCACGCACGCACGCACGCAGGCACGCACACACGCACGCACGCACGCACGCACGCACGCACACGCGCACTAAGCCCCATACCCGAAGGCGTACATCTACAATCAGACCAATCAATGCGTGCGGAAGTGATGGTAAACCCGCTCTTCACGTCTCCCTTCAGAAAATAAACAGGGTCGGCGGCACCTCAACCTGACAGTAGCTGCAAAGGCTTGGGTGCAGTTTGGGGCTCAACGATCGAAGCTCGAAATGCTCGGAGTGAAGAAGCTTGGGGCTTCACATGTAGACTTTAGAAGCTGCCCCCACCCTGTAATAGTGACCATAAGGATTATATAGGATTATATTAGGGCCCTATTATACTCCTATTATACCACTATTACAGGGTGCTGGGGGCAGCTCCTAATGTAGACTCCCCTAACTCCTGGATGGTCCTGGTTTATCAGACAGGTTCAGGTGTTATCGGGATTGCTTGTCGGGCAGTATATGGTCTTTAGGACGGTTACACCGGCGCGAGGGTCGTAGATTTCATAATATAGGGGGCCTTAATAATTAGAATGGGGTTATGGGGCCCATTAATGAACTATAAATAATATAATAAGGAACCCCCACCATAGTATTGGCAATTATTTAGGCCCCTATAGTACGTGATGTTCGAGGCTTTGGGTTGAAAGTTCTGAAGTATGAGGATTTGGTTCGTGTCTAGGGCTCAGTGTCAGGATTTAGGGTTTCAGGGTTTGCATGGATCGATCCCTAAACCCTCGACAGTAGACCCTGAAACCCTAAACCCATACACCCTAAACCCTCTGAACCCTTTAAACCCCTAGGCCCATACACGCTAAACCCTTCAAACCCAAAACCTTTAAACCCCTAAACCCGGCACAGAGGGTTCTTCCGCTTGAGCTTTTGGGTGTCAGGGCGCGAGGGAGTCTAGGTCTTAACTAGGTGTGGATTTCAACACTCTCTTTCTTTCATTATTAGGGCTCTATATTGAACAAGAAGGGAAACTGAACATTATCCCAAGTCGATGCCTGGTAAGGGCTCAGGGCTTAAGATCTCTCGGGGCAGGTGGAACTGGGGACTTCTTCTGGGGGCTTCTTAAACTCAGGGCTTTAGGGGTTTTGGGTTTGGAGGTTTCCGGGCTTAGGGCCTGTTTTGCGACCAGGATCCTGTTGTTTGGGGGGGGTCTCTATTTCGGTCCCTAAACTTGCTTACAGAGCACCTAAGCAGTGGACTCAAGTGAGCCAAGTCACAAAGGATTGATTCTCCGAGCTTCGATATCAGTTTCAGGGAAAAGCATTGTTGGGACATGAGATGCTCAGCTTAATCACATTTGGTGCTACCAGCTCCACTCGAGCCCTTTCTGAAGCTTACGCCGTGCAGAAGCGCAAGTGCGGCCCTTCGGCGGCCCTACTTTCCGTGGTCGAGGGACTCAGTAAGTAGTTATTATATAGATGAATAGTGCCTTACTAGGGACCCTAATTGGGGTGATGGTACTTATAACTGTTTGAAACAACTACTTACTAAGTCCCCCGACCATCCAAGTACCGGATCCACGACTGGCCTTTTGGTTTTCGACTTTCCTGTTCAAACCTCTGGCCGCTAGGGCTCCAAGAGCACAATCCACGCTTGGCCTTTTACTTTCGTCTTCTAGGCCTAGCGCAAGATCAACTCCTTGCCCAGGTGGAAGTTTCCGCCGATTGGATAGCGTAACGATTCCAGTGGCACAACCTGGTACACGTTCCTTTGCTGTGCATGTCAGCTGTCTGACAATACAAGAACGCCGGCTGCCAGACGAATGCCAGGGGAGTCCTGGTCCATGCAACCCACGCAGCTGTGTCAACAAGCATATTCAAGTACCATGCGTACGTCAACGAACCTGATGAGTTCCAGATCCTGCGCAAACCATCCATGTCTGGATCATCAGTTTGGAGCTTTGCACGCCCGAGGCGAATCGGCACCTAAACCCAAAGTCCTAATATAGTGGCCTAAATAATTACCCGTACTAGTATTTTGGGGGCTGGGCCCCTAAACCCTAAAAACCCTAATTTAAATATTGAGGCCTCTATATTAAACCCTGAACCCTAAACCCTAAAGCCTACGCCCTAAATCCTGCACCCTCAACCCTAAACCCTAAACCCTCAACCCTGAACCCTGAACCCTAGTGAAACCTTCTTGTTTGTAGGATCCTCAGTCCCGATTCTTGAAGCCCAACCCCAACCTTTTAGATTCCGATCCCCATTCCTTAACCCTGAACTTAGGGCTTGGAGGCTCATGGGTAGTTATACGCAGGGTTATGAGTAGGAAAACTATAGTTATGACCCATATTGGGGGACTTATAACCCACTTATAACTACCCATGAACCTCCAAGTGGAGTATGTCTTAGGATTGAATTTTGAGAAAGTCCCCGAAGGAGCCCTTGCAGGACCACAGAACCGCGAAGAGTGCAGGATTTCGTCCAATCAGGGGGGCCTTAGGAGGTGTACCCTTAGTTGGAGAAACGAGCAACTGTAACTATGAAGAACTTACGCGCAACCCTAAACCCTGAACGTCCCTAAAATTTGCGCCCTAACCCTAATTTCGCTTGCTAATGTAGGGGCCTTAGTAAATAGTGCAGGGTTTTGGGTGGGCTCCTTATTCTAATTCTAGTATAATATACCCCCAACCCCTATTCTGATTATTATTAAGGCCGCTATACTACATCCCGTGATCCTCAGTGCAGTACCCTTACCCCAATGCGCGGGCCTCCTCATGAAGCTTTCGGAACCTTCCGGCAAAGTTTAGGCACAAGTTTTGGATTTAGGGTTTCAGGCGAAACGGCGATGAAGCCCGGAGAAATCATCACTAGTGCTGGGGTTGCCTACCGAAAGTTTTCAACCACCGGGGGATTCAGACCATACAGCGGCTAGTGGAGTAATTGCTACGTCGTTTTGCAACTATGATACTTATTCATTCCGGAGGAGGCCCCAAGGCACTTGTGTCAGAAGTCTACAGGGAAGATGGTGAAGGCATGGGTCGACTTCGTTGTTCAAGCCAACTATCGGCCCGGCGCAGTATGTGGTTCTGTCCTGTATGCTGTTTTCCTTTCAAAGCTTTTCCTTTTCGTCAGGATTTTGTGAAAGTGATTAGGCTTTCGGGAGCAAGGTTTCATGTCATAAGGATCTGTCTAAGGTTTTGATCCGAATTGTGCTTGGGCATGCTCTGTATAGAGTTCTAACCCTAAACCCCTAAACCCCAAACCGTTAGACCCCAAAGCCTACCTAGACCCCCCAAGTACCCTCCAAGACACCCCGAATACCCACTAGTAAGGGTCATAAGGACTCTGTTAAAGGGCCCTTTAGGGGGTCCTCGTAAAACCTATATATGTCATCGGCTCAGAGCTTATAAGAGCTGTGTTTTGCAAGGGGCGTTGGAAGAGTCGGTATTTGGAGATTCATGGCTAGTTGTAAGTAGGGTCATAAGTCCCCCAACATAGGTTATAGCTATAGTCATCAGTCATACTTAAAACCCTATTTTGACTACCCATGTCCCCTAAACCCTCTACCCTCGTAGAATCCCTATGGATCCCTTTAACGGAACCCGTGTATCTGCCCATGAACCTCCAAGTAAGGGTTGGATGTGCAGATCACCTTCGTGAGTCTCGATGGAACCTGTGAACCATCATCTTTCGC